TTGATAATATAGGTTGGTCTTTCTCATTTATATCCTCGTTCTAAATCGTCTTCATTTGCAGGTTATTCCGGTAGTAAACAAGATTTAAATCTATCACAAACAACGATGAAAACATAATTTAGTCTTTTTCTTAATTGAAATGAACATTATCTCGTGTGAATTAATTAACTAAATTTTAAATTTTATTTATTTTTTTTATTTCTTTAAACAAATCCATTGAATAATCTGCATTTCCATATGGTTATATAATATCACCTAATCTGTAACAATATTCTTCTTTTTGTTTTCAAGAGCAGAATTAAATATGTAAAATTCAATTATGTTCAAAGTTATTTTTTATTTCAAATATTCTATTTAGATATGGTTTTGTTTTACTTAATATTAGCAAAGGAAATGATGAAAGTGATATGTGTTTATGATTAAAAATAGAATAATTATAACATCTGCATATGTTCATAAATGATGATAGTGTGATGATTGTTTGTAGAGATTAACTCTTATTGTTAACTAAAAGCCTATTTTAGATATTTCATGTATATTTTAATCTATCGAAGTTTAACTTTTTCAAAGTTATTTTAATTAAAATATTATTTATTCTTGTCAAATGATAAATCATGAAAGTTTTCTCTTATAATATACATTTAACTCTAAATAAATATAAATAATGAATCATTCTTTAGTAAATATATGATATATATGAAAGTATGATAAAATATTTGATAAGTAAAGACAACAGTTAAGTATTGTGTTTGCGAACATGTTTACTGGAGTTACATGCAAATACTCTAGATTATTTTTACATATTTAATACTATCATAATCATGAATCAATTGTTCCTATGAACTTTATTAGAAAATCATGGATTTATATTAATTACAGACTTTGAGAAATATAGAAAAAATATGAGAAAGTTTTTATTTTGTCAAGAAATTTAATTATTAGAAATTATTGTAACAGTGGAGATCATGCGTAGTCTATTTGCATTAGTTTTTAATAACATCTTCGAAAAAATATAGATCAAGCAACTCATCAGGAGATATTTTGCATCAAACAATAATTCCTTTCGACATATTAAGAATGTTAGCTCAATATGTGCAATTGTGTCGGTTAACGACTGTCTTCAAATGTACTATTAAAGTTTGATAGAAGATTTTAAAATCAATTGGTTCATAACTAATTATATTGATATGAACTTGAGTAGCATCTTGTCGAATCCACAGTCGTGGATTCTCTGTATCATTTCTTGTCTCTTCTCTAATTTATCGATGAAAGATGTTGTCATCGGACGATCGCTGCTTGAGAAATCTTCAACTCTTCCATTTTTTTTATAATCAAACTTCTGATTTATTGAGAAAATTGTAGCTGAAATTGATGGATTTGTATTGAAATCATAGTTTCATTGTCGTTGAACTTCTTACACATTTTGGCTTTGAAAATGCCGATGCAAAGTATGATAAAAGAAATGAAGAAGAGAAGTGATAACAACATCAGTTAACGTTCATATCGTCCATAATTTTTTTCTAGTATATTTTTTCTGCTCATTAAAAGATTCATGCATCATTTCATCGATAAAAACATACATAAATATATGTAAATGGACGTGTCAGTCGTATTTCTATATTTCAGAAGAAAAAATGAAATAAGGGTAAAATTTCGTAAATAATTTCGTTTTGAATAATATCATCGCAACAAATCTTAATTGATGATGATACATAAATCTATATGCAATTTATTTATTAGGACGATGAAAAAAATTTTGCTAGTTGCATATGTTTGAATAGACGATTCATTTGTAAATAAAGTCATGAACATATTTTCTATCTTCAAAAAAATGATCAATTCATTTGGTTGCCATCTGATGAGGATATTCATATTTTTCTCTGTTCATTGACCTTGTAAACATTTTATATATTATGATACTATAGATTTCTTTTCTTTGATACATAAAGCTACATACGACTACTACATACTATGAGGTACCTTATTTGTAAATATTATCAAAATAAAAGTAAAGAGAGCCATTAGTGGATAATCGTCAAGGTCATATATTAACACTCTTCGTCGTTAAAAAAACAGGTACAAACGTCATAGTATCCTATATTGTCTACCTACATGATGTCTCGGTTCCGCCTGAAAAAGTATTTTCTGCGTTGCTGATGACTTATTTGTGATATGGCAAGTGAGATATTAGATAAAAGCTGTTTTATGAATGTTTTTAATTGCATATCTAATTAAACGATAGATATTATTCAGATGCATGATAAAAAGTGAAAAAAATACTTCATTTTATTTATCTGTGTTATTGCGAAACGGTCAATATGGTCTATGTCGTATATTGATAATTAATAAGTCGCTATATTATAAGAGAAACAAAAACAAGAAGCATTACCATTTGAATATTTAGCGCGTAATATACAGGTAAAGTATAAATTTTTTCATGAAATATTTAAGATGATAATAAGGAACAATTCCAGTCAATTTTATTTTCTATTTATTCATACATGGTTAGATAGAGTTTGACAAGCTGACTAACAATACATATTTTTTAGTTGAGTTCAGTTACTTTCTCGCTAGAAAAAGATAAAAAGACACTCATCAAGATCAGATATATGACCAAAATCATTTTTTTCATAAAAGGTCTCTGGTTTTTATTGTTCGCAACTAATAGTCTTTGAAAATGCGTTTACGGACACTTTTCGTAAACCTATCTACATTTTTATTAGAGGAGATAGGACCAAGAGGTCTATAAAATATCAAAGTTAAAAACTATATTTAGTTTATATAAATCATTTTTTGTTTGAAAATATATTCTGACAGAATTCATAATACGTATTATAGTTATCTTAATATTATATGAACTTATTTAGAAACAAACTTTTTATTAATTGTAGTTTGCAAACACATAAAAAATATGAATATTTCATTGATTTTGAGATATAAGTACATCTAATATTTGACTAATGAATATACAGAGTACCTATGAGAGACGATAATAAACCATTTCGTTCTTGCTCTGATGATTTTCGTATATGTATATACTAATGAGATTTTTATTCTCTTTAAAAAGCTTTTAACTCATTTATAGACATGATAAATTTCACTATAAATTGGTTTCTTTTTTATTAATTATTATTTATTTATTATGGAATAAAACAAAAAAAAAGAGTCCAAAAGTACAATAGTCCGATAATCGATGTTATTATTCATAGTCATTACGAAGCAGAGCAGGAACAGTTTTATCTGAAAATCAAAAATGTTCTGTGATAATTACGATTTTCTAGAGAAACTCAGAGTTTCTCTCTCATCTAACTCAAGTTTAATCTTAATCAATTCAGATCCAAATTAAAAGTTTGTATTTTGACAAAATCCGAGTCTTTAAAATATTTTATATCATTAAATCGTATTATGATATTTATGTATTACAAATCTTAATTTTCTACTAGATAAAAATCTATATTAATCTACAACGATGGCAATGGCAACAGAACTCTTATTTGGATATCGATATAAATATCCAAGGTAAGATAATCTCTTTTATGTTTATTTCCATTAGATATGAAATTATTTATTATCAACAATATTAACTAGAATAATCTTTGCTTTTTCAATGAATAATATTTTTGAAAAATAAACATAATTAACTTTATACAGCAAGTAATATCGACTATTATCACAATAATATATTCTCTCTCTCTCTCTCTCTCTATATATATATATATATATATATATATATATAATTTTCTAACTTTACAGTCCGATTAATTTGAAGAATTGTATTCAAAGATATTTAATGATCTAGTCTGATTCAAAAGTATGAGTTATATTTGAGCTTTTTCGAAAATGTTAAATTAGATTTCGATGCTCAACATATTATTTGAAGATAATGTTTTATGTTTGTTTTTGTAGACGTCGTTATATTCGATGGAAATGGTTATCCATGGATTTGTGTTTTTGGTGTTGCTCATATATTTTACTTGGAATAATTGCGTCGGTTATTGTTATATCATTAATTCCGCTCTATCTTTCTGATAGACAAATAAGTAGAAATACTGATTGTAAGAATCATATTCATTACTTTCATTTCTTAATTCTATAAAAAAAAATGTTTTGTTTTAGGCATAATAAGCATAACTGTATCTTATGGAACGAATCTAAAAGGTGGTAGTTCATTAACAATTGCTAATGTCAACGCAATAGCTAATACTGTAAGTATTACTTTATATTAAAAGTAGATCATAGACTATATGTTGTATTTAAAGTTAAGAAAAGCATATGGTTTTGATAACTTATCGATCACGTCTATTCAATTTGTATCATCGTCGACTACAACAACAACAACTAACAAACGACGACGACGACATTGGCGGCAACGACGACAAACAGAGTATGTAATCAAAAGGACACTATAATATTATTATTATTTCTATTATAGAGCATCCGTTGACAGTTGTCAAAAAACTACCAACACAATCGGTGATGCTCTTTCTGTTGTATTTACTATTAAACAGTCAACGCCATGTCCTACGGCATCATCGAGACAAAAATTTATCTCAGCATGTCAAGCGAAAATAAACGCATCGAATTACATTTTAAATCTGCAGCTAACTTTTACCAATGGTCAAACATCTAGTGTTGATATTAATTTCTGTGTATTCGCTACACTTAATCAAACTGCTCAGTCCACCAGCTCAGTAGCGCAACAGCAAGATACTATGTCTGTGGTAACCTCTTCTAGTAGCACTGTTTCGGAACAAATGGCAGCAGCATCGTTTAAAATGATAAGCGTCACTACAACAAGCATAACTTTGTCAATATTTCAGACCACCGTTCAGGCAGAAACAACACCTGTTGATCTACAAACAACTGCCGTAGGTCTACAAACAACACCTGTAGGTCTACAAACCACTGCTGAAGATTTACAAACAACTGCTGTAGGTCTACAAACAACACCCGTAGGTCTACAAACCACTGCTGAAGATTTACAAACAACACCTGTGGATTTACAAACAACTGCTGTAGGTCTACAAACAACACCTATAGGCCTACAAACAACACCTGTAGATTTACAAACAACTGCTGGAGATTTACAAACCACTGTTGGAGATCTACAAACAACTGCTGGAGATCTACAAACAACACCTGTGGATTTACAAACCACTGCTGGAGATCTACAAACCACTGCTGGAGATCTACAAACCACTGCTGGAGATCTACAAACCACTGCTGGGGATTTACAAACCACTGCTGGAGATCTACAAACAACTGCTGGAGAAGTGGATAAGACAGTTACTATTACTTCGGAAATGACTATTATAACCACGAGTATTACTACAGCTATCACGGCTACTGTTAGTGAGTTCAGTTTGATTATTATTCTTGATAGAATATTTTGGATATTCTTTGTGATTAAATGTAGTCACTCACTTAGTTATACTATTGAAGTCTTGACTAGTATTCCTTTTCCGTTATAATGAAATGATCTTTATAATGAATTACACAGAATGAGATATTTAGATATCTTGGAAACGAATCTCGTTCAGTTTTTGTTAATATTCTAATTAGATGTATTTATATTGAAAAATGGGCTGAAATGAATTTAAATATGTTTGACTATATATTTTACTGATTTTGTTGTATTTTATTTTTTAGTGACGTGCACATCAACAACATGTTCAATTCGTGGTAAGTGTACTGATACATCCAGTGGTCCACTCTGCAGTTGTACATCAAGTCTTTATGGAAGTCTTTATGGGTCAGGACAACGAGGTAAATAGAAAATAAATTTAAAAATAAATAAAAATAAAATTTTATTCTTTGAAGAAATATTTACTACAAGTGGTGATTTGATCGATCCTCCTACTGGTACTGATACAACATTAGGTGCTCCTTATATTGATGCTGTTAGTATAACAGCACGTGGTTTAGTGACATTGGTTTCATTTTATGCAAATAATGGATGTGTCGATAGTGGAATTCAATTTGGAGCTTTCTCAACAACTCTTCCTCTTTCGTCTTCAAATACTTTTCAATTAGTAACACAATCAGGTGCTATTAGTGTTGATCGAAGTAGTTATTCAACAACAATGCAACGTGTAGATATTTCTCTTTGTCTTTCATCTAATAATCCAGTTGGATGTCAAGGAAATGCATTTGTTATTGGACAAGGTCAATATTTTGGATCTTATTCCTCAAGTTGTCGATTTGCTTATTCTCCTGTTGGATCATCTGGTTATCCAACAACATATTATAAATATACATATAATCCATTTACATCAAATCCTTCATCAGCTATTTATGTACATGACTTTAATAACGTTGTTTTACAACAAATTACAATTGCACAACTAACGACAGGTAATACAATATTCAGTTTTATTAAAATTAAAAACAATTAGATTTATTTCATCGATAAAAGACACAATAACAGATACAGAGGAATCGAAATGTTTCCATTTGTATTATAAAAAAAATCATCTTATTTTGAGAATAGTAAACTTTAAAAACGGGTAAATTTTCTATCTACTTGAATCTGATAATCCTTTTGAATTGAACAATAAGTAAGATTTATGTTGATTATCCTAAGATTAGACTCACTTATATTCTACTATGAATAAAAATTAACGAATCGTAAACGATGGAAAAATATTGATTATTAGTTGAATAATTATTCTTCAAGAAATATTGTATGAATAAAATAAAAAATTTATCTTTATGATTTATTTTAGCTAATTGCGACGATCCTTGCCAACCAAATCCATGTGATACAAATGCCGTATGTACATCAGGCACAATATATTCTTGTGCATGTAAATCAGGTTATACTGGAAGTGGTACAATAGGAGGTTGTACAAAACCCACCACATCAACTATAATACCATGCCCTTCAAGTATGTTATTTTATTATAAGATCTTTATCTAAAGACACTTTAGATACGTTAGGATATATTTTAAAATTAACTAAAAAAATGAACAGAATATTTCTAATAGAGAATTGATGTGTTCTTTGTTACTAGTAATAGTGTTAGTATGTTTAAATTAGGACACTATCGAAATAATCTTTCGAGATTTATTTATTAATTGACACATTTATAAAGTACAAAAAGTAAATCTTAATTATGATTAATCGATATGTTTTTTTCAGTCATTTGAGAAAGAGAAGAGCTTCAACGAGTTGATTTCATATATAAACTATTTTATTTTACAAAATATAATTAAAAACATTTTCTTATTCTTTTAGATACTCCATTTGGGTATGTAGCTACTCCTAATGGTCAACCAGCAAGTATAGGTGTAACTTATATTGATGCAGTCGCAGTGAATACTGGTGGATTAGTTACACAAGTATCGTTTTATGCGGCACAGACATGTAATGATAATAATATTTATTTTGGAACATTTTCTTCAAGTGGTTCAAATCAATTTCAACTAATTGAACAATCCGGAGCTTTAACATATGATCGTACTTCTGATACAGATACTTCAATGAAACTTGTAACGATATTATTATGTACCAGTGCATCGACTCCATCTGGTTGTCAAGGAAACGCTTTTCCAATAAGTAGTGGTCAATATTTTGGATCATATTCATCTCAATGTATATGGGGTTATGCTCCAGTATCCTCATCATCTGTCTATGCATATACATATTATCAACAATCAAATGCATTTTCAAGTGGTGCTCCAACAACAGGAGCTTACAGCAATGGTTATGCTAATATTGTTCTTCAATATATTAATATTCAATCGACAAGTAAGACAAAATTTTCTATATTATTTATTATTCATATGAAAATTATTTCATTTCTTTTTTTAGATACGTGTTAAAGATGAATGCATCTTTATTATATTGACTATTTCATTATTATATTTTTATTGTTTTAATTTTATTTTTAAATAAAATTAACTTTATTCTTTTAAGAAGTAAAACAAGTCACAGTATTGTAAGTAGAAGTATTAAACTTCTACTTGAAAAAAACTGTACTTGTATTAGAAAAGGAATTTACTTTTGTATTGTACTTCCTATTTATAAAATAAAGATAGATGAGGTAATAAAAGAGTTTTAATAAATCATATTTTTTCATAGATTGATTCAAAAGCTTTTTATTGTGAATATTAATGAGAGCATAGACTTTAGAAAAAGATTTTTCATTGATCGAAGAATATACAATACTATTGAATTAATTCTTTCGAGAAGTGTAATATTAATTGACACCTTTTATAAAGAAAATGAAGTTTGCATTAATAAAACAACGTTTACTATCGAATCATCCAATAAATATTTATCTTGATCAAAATAATAAGATAACAACGCCATCTATGATAGAAATTATTTTAACTTATTATAATTATTCTATAATTCATTATAAATTGTTTCTTTAATGAAAAAATTGTTATTTATATAAAATTCAATAATGAAAATAATGAATGACATAGCTGAGTTACAATCCTAGATACAAACTTCTAATGGTTACTTTGGTTGCCAACATACATCAAACATCATTTGTTGTTGTTGCAAGTTGTAGTGATAGTTATACTTGTTGAATAGATTTTTCATTAGTTGTCGTTCTTTCGACTGTCATCATGAGCCAACGACATACATTACAAGGTGATTTTTTCTTTGTTCAATTTCATTTTTTCTTCTATAAACTAAAATATTTTCATTTCTAGTTTTTGAACAATATCAAAAAGCTCGTTTAACATTTGTTCAATCTGTAGCTGATCTTGCAACACGACCACAAAATATTGAAACACTTCAAAATGCAGGTGTTATGGCATTACTTCGTCCATTATTACTTGATGTTGTACCAAGTGTACAACAAACAGCTGCACTTGCTTTAGGTCGTTTAGCTAATTATTCTGATCATTTAGCTGAATCTGTCGTACGTGGTGATATTCTTCCGCAACTTGTCTATTCATTGGCTGATCAAAACGTAAAAAATTATTTGAATTATTAAACAATAAACAATCTTTCGTATTTAGAGATTCTACAAAAAAGCTGCGGCGTTTGTTTTACGTGCTGTTGCTAAACATTCACCCCAATTGGCTCAATCGGTTATTGATTGTGGAGCATTAGATGCCCTTGTGCTTTGTCTAGAAGAATTTGATCCATCTGTTAAAGAAGCAGCAACATGGGCACTTGGATATATTGCACGACATAATGCAGGTTAGAAAAATGACAAAATAAGGCTTCATTACTTGTTTACATTTAAATACATTGGAAAAATAAAGACAAAAAATTAAACCATGTCAAATAGGACTCGAAAAAATATTTAATTGCATGACGATTTAAACGTGGTAGAATGTTAAAAGAATTATTTAATATAATTGAGCTAATAAGAATTTTAACAGATTCTCTCTATCGTAATTGAGTTTTATTACCAACTCATTCATACACGAAAAGAAACGTATTTAAATAGTGTGAATATATCTGTCTTTCGAATAAAAGTATTTATATAATTTTAATAATTTAGAATTAGCCCAACATGTAGTTGATGCTGGTGGTGTTCCATTACTTGTTTTATGTTTACAAGAACCCGAAATAGCTTTAAAACGTGTTGCTGCATCAGCATTATCTGATATAGCTAAACATTCACCGGAATTAGCACAAACAGTTGTTGATGCTGGAGCTATTGCACATCTTGCTCAAATGATTCTTAATCCTGATGCTCAACTTAAAGTAAAAATTTTCTTTCTTTTATTTATATATATATTTTCTTTTTGTTTGATTTTCTAGCGACAAATATTTTCTGCTTTAAGTCAAATTGCAAAACATTCCGTTGATTTGGCTGAAATGGTTGTTGAAGCTGAAATCTTTCCAGCCGCTTTTGCATGTTTAAATGATACAGATGAATATGTAAAGAAAAATTGTGCTACACTTATACGTGAAATTGTTAAACATACACCGGAAGTAAATATATTCTTTGAATTTCTTCGATAAAAAAATATAAATTATAATTTAGTTAGCACAAATGATTGTGAATGCAGGTGGAGTCGCTGCTGTTGTTGATTATGTTTCATCAACCCGTGGTAATGTACGTTTACCAGGTGTTATGATGCTTGGTTATACAGCTGCACATACAGAAAGTTTAGCTATGGCTGTTATTGTTTCAAAAGTAAAACAAAAACTAAAAGAAAAAGAAATTTATTTATTTTGTTTATTTAAAATAAGGGTATCAATCAATTATCAATTGCACTTAATGAAGAAACTGAAGATCATATATTAGCTGCAACAGCATGGGCACTTGGTTTGTTATAATAAATTAGATTTTGTTTTTATTGTATTTATTTTTTTTCAATATTTGTAGGACAAATTGGTCGTCATACACCTGAACATGCTAAAGCTGTCGCTGTTGCAAATGTTTTACCACGATTACTTCATTTATATATGCGTACAGATATGTCTGAAGATTTACAAACAAAAGCAAAAAAAGCTTTGAAAAATATTCTACAAAAATGTGTTTATTTACCAGTATTAGAACCATTATTACATGAAGCATCACCAAATATTCTTAAACATGTTGTTGCACAATTTTCAAAAGTACTTCCACATGATCCTAAAGCACGAAGATTATTTGTTACAAGTGGTGGTCTTAAAAAGGTTTCGTATTTTTATTAAAATTATTTTTGTTTATTAAAATAATTTAAAATTAGATTCAAGAAATTAAAGCTGAAGA